TCTCTAGAGTTTTTCTGCATATTCCTGCATATCTATAGGCAGTTGCAGAAGCTCGATCTTTGAAGAAATCTTTCTCAGAATCAATCTCCTGGGGGAGCACACTGAAGTGAATTGCCATGTCTGAGCATGGGGTGCTTATCTCTACACTTCCCCCTTTCTAATTATTGGCTTGAACTGCTGCCATAGCCAAAAATACAGCAGTGTTTCGCTCACGTGTTTTCTTTACCTGTAAAAGTTTTTTTATGATCCAGTAAAACACAAATCCAATTAGGCAAAACAAGAACAGAGAACCGGCAGAAGTATAAATTTTATCTGTTGGATTTAGTTGAGCAATTCCTTCAGATATACCTTTTAAAATTTCATCTCCATTAATTTGTTTTAATTTTTGCTCAAAAGTACTATATACTTGATGTTGTGACTCAATTATATCAGTAGTTAAATTTCCATGGTTTAGCAAATATTTTTTGACTTTACTCCAAGGAAATAATGTTTCATTATAAGGAACAGGGGTTACACAAAAAGAAGAAACATTTCAATCACATTTCAATTTGACTTGTTTTTCTAAACTATACAATTGGTCACCTAACAAAATTACTGTTTGTTCTAAATCAGCCAATTCATTATGTATTTCAGTGTCAATTTGTTTTTGAGATACCCATAGTCTCTCAGCATTATAATGCCATTGAGATACAAATTTCTCAGTCTTTACAGATTCTGTGAGAGCTACTCCTGCAACCGCAGCTTCCGCAGTGGTAGCTATAAGTCCAAGAACTGAAATTATTAGAAGGCTGATGAATCTCTTCATTCTCTTTGTCAGCTTCTGGGCTAGACTCACTAGGATGGAAATGGCTGGAGACTCCTCCCATGGTCTCATCATCTTCACTGGAAGCCAAACACCAGCTCTGGCTTGGAGTAGATAAATTCTATTTTGGGAAAAATTAAATCTCATAGATACATTAAAGCATGTGAACATTTGACATTTGCCTGGACAATGTATTTCTCCAGTATCTTTATTCCAGGTAATATTTCCAACTAGCCAAACATAAGGAAGTTTTACACAAGCATAAGTAAAATGGGCTTCTTGCCACTTGAAATGAAAGGTATGCTGAAACTGATGTCCAGATTTATGTGTATGCACACCTTTCCATGCATGTAATCCAAATAAAGCTGCTCCAATTTTCCATAAATCAGGCTGTGATGGATAGCCATAAATACCTGGAGCAGGTGGTGCAAAACCACTTTCTTTCCACA